AAGTTATTTCAAATTGCTTCTGTTTTCACAGATGGGTCTTCTTAGGTTAAAGGAAGTTATATTAGGGCTTCCTCTTCCAAAATATTGGGTACAGGTTTCTCACTTTATCATCAAAATTCAAATTACAAAAACAAAAGGGGGAGTCAATCCCTCCCACTTCACTTGTTGATATATACTAATTAAATTCTTAAAATTTTACTAAAGATGAAAGTATAGCAGCAGAAAATTATACTACAAGAAAAGGCCACAGCTGAGAACATCTGGCTCCAACCCTGTTAACTAAAGAAGACTATAGCTGCAGGCATCTCACTCCTATGGAGAAGGCCTTTCTGGAGATAACATAGTTCTCCTAAATTAACATAAAGTATTACTTGGTGAAGTCCTTTAGGGATTCCCAAGTCCAGCCCAGATTCCTATATTATGTATGGTTAACAGTTAATTTATATAGACACAGCTACTTTGTAATGATAATGAAGTTGATCAACTTGTTGCTATTTCTTCACCAGACTGTTTAGCTACTAAATTTCATACTTTAACTCATGTAAATACCAAAGGTTTATGTCAAAATTTCCTCAACTTTCCATTCAACAGGCTCACGAAATCATTTTATCTTGTCCTATTTGTGGTTTGCTTAATAATCCTATTTTTTAGCCTGGAACAAATCTTGGAGGCTTGCAAAGTAACGAGTTGTGGCAAATGGATGTAACACATATTCCTGCTTTTGGCAAACTTGGATTTGTATATGTTGTTGTTGATAAATAGTCTGGCTTTATATAAAGCCTTTGTACTATGGAAAAAAATTTGTACATGTTAAAAATCATTTATTAGAGTGTTTTGCTCTTATAGGTAAATCTAAAACAATCTATACTGACAATGGACCTGCTTATGTGTCACATTCCTTCCAACAATTCTGTGCCTTGTGGGATATTAATCATGATACCAGCATTCCATATATAATCCTCAAGGACAAGGTATAGTTGAAAGGGCACAGGCTACTCTTAAATGTATGTTAGCAAAGAAAAAGGGGGTATAGGGATAGAAGTTCACCACGCCAATTATTACATAAAGCCCTATTCACTTTAAATTTTTTGGATATTAGTAAAGATTCATCTACTACAGCAGCAGAAAAATTTTGGGCCACCATTATTAAGGGGCCATCAGAACCGATAGGGCAACTTATCTTTTGGAAAGATATTCCCACTGGAAAATGGGAAAGAGGTACTGTTCAAATGTGGGGGAGAGGATCTGCTTGTGTCATTACAGATTCAGGAGATAAAGTGTGGTTACCTGCTAGAAGAATTAAACCTCAACATGAGCCACAAAAGAGTCAGATTTGATCTGAATCCTCAAGTGGAAGAAAGAGAGCAATGTCACTATAGCACCATCCCCAGACACCAACCAAAAACACTCAGAAATCACAACCCCCAACCTGGGGACAACTTAAGAAATTTACCCATGATGCTGAGAAGCAGCTGGACTCCACTAGGCAAGACTTTACGGCTGGTAATATGTTTCTAGCCACGTTGGCTGTATAGCCACTATGGTAGGCACTACTCTGTAGAATTGGGCATTTATGCGTGTGCCAATTTATGTTAATAAATCTAGATGGCTTCCCGGTCCATATGACACATGGGGACCATTAATAATGACAGAAAGTCACCAGTATTCTTAAGAGGATAAAGTACAAAATATGCATGTTTTTTGTAGATACAAGATTCTATTTCCTTCCCAAAATTTTCTAGGAGATCTCTGCTTATTGACAACAAAATCTGATCAGTCTATTTAAATTATAAATTTCTAAAATTATAATAGAATTACTATAATTCAGTTTGGCTGAAAATATATTTGAGTGCACTCTGATTTTGTAGAGATGTTTGTTTTTTTGCCCTGTGTACTTGTTTACATGTTTGTTTGTCATTCAGTGAATAACTGTTCCCATTTATTTTGAGCTCAGCTATTGGGTTATAGATTTAAAAGCACGCTTTCGCCTGAGTTACCAGCTGGTTTAAATGATATAAAATTAAGATTTTTAACTATAATCCTTAGGAAGAGGAGCAGTTGTTGGGTAGGACTCCAACTGATGAATAGAGGAGTGGCCAACATTTATTCATTAATAAGGAGTCCCCAGTGATCTCCATGGTCTCTTGGGAGACACCCCTATGCTAGAGACATGTTATGTCAAAATGAAAATTTAAGTGTGTTACTATCTGTCATCATGTTGTCATGTAGCAATGTTATGTATAATTTTGATATCTATATTTCTGGGTAAAAATATGTAACTGTGGTTTCTTAACATTCTATTTGGATTTAAATATTAGGATATCCATGGTTGTTAAAAAATAATGGTTCTATCTGTATGTTCTAGGGTATTTGCTGTTCAGATCAGATTGTAATATTAAGCTTACTGACCCCTGTTAGTTAAGGGTTAAAATTTTATTTATACAAGTCTTACTTTAACTTGTTCTTAGACATGCAGCAGAAAAGTGTAATCACAAGATGTAGACTGTTGGTTGACCACTGTGATGGACTTTGGACTATACTCTTATTTTTCCAATTTTCTACTGTCATTGTACATGGTGTTATAATTGTACTTTGCCTGATCCTCTTAGTCTAGCAAAGTTCATCCAGAAAATGCCGAGAGATATGGGAAGACACTTGGCAGCTTTCTCGCTGATGCTTCAAAGAGTAGCAGCAAAACAAAAAGGGGGAAATGTGGAGAAGGACATTCTTCAGTTACTATTTTGTGTACTGCCTGAGGCCTGACCAAGCCATGATTCTCGGGTTCTGAAGGAAGTCTAGCATAAGCATCGCAAGCGCCCGACCGTATCAATACTAGATGCTTTGCTGAGATATGGGTGAAGGAAGATAACCTGATGACTTACCCGTCAGGGCGCATTCCTATGATAATTGAGTTGTATTGTCCTTGCTGAAACAGTTGATATCCTCCCATTCCTCTGCTGCCTCCGGGGTGGATTCTGAATAAAAGGTTACTGAAGATGGTAATCAGGGGGCAGTCAGTCCTAGAGGCTGCTAGCACCTGATCACAAGATTTTGGCTCTCTTGGTTTGATTTTTTACTTCCTTTTCTTATACCTCTGCGGGCACCTAGTTTGGGGATCTGTTCACCCTGGACAGAGTTGGAGGAGAAGTTTGACAGTGCAGCACCTGTTGTCTGTGGTCAGCAATGAGGAGAAACGAAGTCCTGATTCCCTCTACACACAGCCTTGTCACTAGTGAGAAGGAAAACGTAGCCCCTAGTGTCCAAAGCCGGTCCATACCGCGGCCAGAGTGCGGTCCTCTTTACAGGCTGGGCCGGGGCTGAGAGCCCAGTGAGCCAAAGCCTCTGCACAACCTCGAAGCACAGCACCGGGCGAGCTGCCCTGAGACCGCGACCAAAGCAAGCAAACAGGCCGCTCCCAGCCGACCAAACCAGGCACTGCCCTCCCGCACAGCACCCTGTCGGGGAATTCCCCTACAGTTTTTGAAATTTTTTCCCTGTTTTAGGAGGGCCATGAGCCAAGGTTTTCACTTCGCTCTTGCTGGCACGTGAAGCGCTTTTCAGCGCCGTCCGCGCTGAGCCTGGGGTTTCGCTGTGATCTGCACCGTTTGCCTCCGCTCACTTTCTGGGGTTGCTCAGTCGTGCAGAGGCCCGCCCGTCCCCCCGTGTCTCGGGGCCAGCCTTGATCACACTCGGCTCTTTGATCACAGCCATCGACCCGGTGTGCAGCGTCAGGGCCCCTGCCAGGGTGACACACACGGGCTCGCACAGTCCGACGCAGACACACAACGCTGGGCTTGGCGCTGCTCTGGCCTCGGCAGCGTCTCCAGTGCCCCTGCTAGGTCGTCCTGGGTGAGAGTGATCCTCAGCACTGCCCGGGGAGCAACGCGCCCATCACACCTGCAGCAGCGGCGCCTCGCTCGGCCGTGTGTGTGTGTGTGTGTGTGTGTGTGTGTGTGTGTGTGTGGTGGGTGAAGCTCAATCTCAGCTGCACGGAGCCTCCGCCTTCCGGCGCCTTGTGACGCAGTGGCAGCAGGGAAAGGGCGGCTCCAGTCTCTGCAGCGTGCGATGTGCAGCCCTCCCGCCAGCCACCCCACAGCAGCGTGAGCGCTGTAAGTTCCTGACACGCCCCTCCCGGGACAGTCCTGCTTCCAGGGCGCTGCGCATCCTCTGAGAGTGAGACACCCAACGGCCTCCTGCAATTCTCAAGGGAAATGGAAAGAGCATAGTGGCGAAGCGTCCTCGAGCACGGCGAGGAGTAGCGCTGCAAGCCTCCCGCCAATCGGCGCCGTCTTCCGTCCGCAGGAGCCCCTGCGGAGGCTTTACCGACCAGAGGGACGTGGAGAGCAAAGTCTCCCGGTGTGGCCTCCCTTTCCCCGGCCAGCAGGCTGGGGCGTTGCCGGGAGGTGAGGAGCCGCTCCTGACGCAGGCGTATCAGGAGGAGGCCCTGGGTGTCCCACCGTTGTCTGCAGGCTCAGTAATTCGCTAGCACCTTTTGCATTCCTGCCTCACCCTTACCACTCTCGAAGTCACACACTGCAGGCGCCTGCCTTTCCCCACCAGAAGGCGGATTTCAAGAGGCCAGGGCAGCCCTGTGCTCCGCTCTGCCTCCCGGGACCTGGAGCACTGTCACAGAGCCAAACCGAGTCACCCCAGCACCACAGGCCCCCTCCCGCCTTCCTCTGCCTGCAGCCGCTCTCACTCCAGTACCACACAGCTGCCTGAACTGTTTCTCTCAGACAAAGGTAAGAGGCAGGCATTTCCTGTCTTCAAAAACCTCTCACAGGTTGTCTTTCCAAGGTGCCCGCCGCCACCTCGCTCCTTCACCCCCGCAGAGTGCTGAGCTGCAGCATGCCCAGTGGTCCCAGACCCACGCCTGCCTCCAGCAGCCAGGCCCCAGCGACAAGGGCAGCACCTTCTTTTCTTCCTGAGCGCAAAAGCCCTCGCCCTCCAGTGCCGGACGATGGAAATGCCCAGACCCAAGGTGCTCTCTGGTCCTCCTCGCCCTGCACCTCTGGGGCCTCTGTCATCCGCGTGAACCCCTCGCCACACCTGACTGGTCAGCTTGAGTCTCCCGGTGGGTGAATACGGTCTTTCCCAAGAGGCTGTGTCTCAAGTGCAGGAAAATGTTCCTTTTTGTCCCACCTTATAGAGTTCTAGTGAGGAATGAGTTCATGCACGCAAAGCAGTGCTTTGACACACAAAAAACACCATATAAATATGTGCTATCATTACGATTCATGTCTCCTTATTATTGACTCACAGGGAATATCAATATGCACTGCTGTTGAATTTGGTTCAAGTGGGGCAGGCAACTTCCAAAAAAGAGTGAGATTTAACTTAGAATCTGGTAGGGAGTGCTGATACTGTTTTCCAGGGACCTCTGCAGTTAGTATTTGTACAGCCCTCAACCCACCTGCTGATCCAAACTTCTGGGAGTAAGAGCCAAGTCCTGATAAGTAAGAGAAGCCAGACCTAACCCCTTCCCCAGTGGTGTGGCATAAAGGTAGATCTGACCTGAGGACACCTGCCTTGGAGTATTGTTTTTGAGAAGCTTCACTGGGTGGCTTGTTCAAAGTTCACTTACACTGGACAATTCTAAGCCTAAATGTGTGCTTTCCATTCCTGGCTGGTGCTTGGGTTGCAAGTTTCCCTGGCTTCCTCTGGAGCCGGCCAGGCTTTCCAGGACTTGTCTGACCCCACCTGTGGAGAAGCCACCTTCTGGGTGCCGTGAATGGCTGCGTCTCACGCTCCAGAGGAGGAAGATTTCTGGAGGCTCTGAGTAAGCATGGGTCAGCCTTTCATAGTCAAAGGCCAGCAGGGTGAAGTCAAGGGTGTGATCGGATCCACCCTGAGAAGCAAAGAGTACCCAGAGATGCTTACAGAATGCAGATTGCTCCTCCGTCCAGAGCCTCACATGATCCAAGCCAATGGAGACACCAAACATACTTGACGTTTGTGTGTCATTTACAAGTACTTTCAGATACTTGATTTGCCTACACCACACAAAACAATCCGGGAAATTAGTTGTCATCATTTCCATTTCCTAAGAGGAAGCTCAGAAAAGGTGACTGGTCCCAGGTTGGAGACTTGTATGGTTTTGTTAGAGGAGGGTTTGATGCAAGCCTGAACTGGCTTTATCCAAGGAGAGTGAGTCATGGGGATGGGGAATGAGTTTTAGGATAAAATGATCCTGTAGCATCAGGGATGGAGAACTAAGTTCCACACTTTAGCTCTACCGTATGCTAGAAGAATGAACTTGGGCAAATAACGCTCACTGTCATTTCCTCAGTTGCAAAAAGAGAATACCTGAAAGGATTAAATGACCTACAATAGTGCAAAGTTGTCTGATGTGTCCAGCGAGTAAGTAAATGACCTTGACTATACGGACAGAACTACAGAACTTCTCAGCACCTTTTCAAATTTTCCTGGTATGATTTTCAACAACTGTTTCAACCTCCGCACCAACCAGAAATGAGTCAGAGCTCTCTTCAAGCCCGAGGCTGGACTGGGGACCCAGTTCTTGAAATTCAACCATATGAAGGCGATTCTCCTCCCTGGCAAGCTGGCGGATGGGGTACACATCAGAGGGCGGCACACTGGGCTGGCGGAATGCGGCGCTCAGCCTTTTCTAGGCCACTGGTCCTGGGAGCTCTGCCCAGCGGCCTGGCATCACGGAGATTTACCCCGCACGCCTGAGCGAGTCTGGCCCTGGCTGGGAGGATCACATTTCATCCAGTGCTGAAATCACTTGAAATTCCCCTTGTTCATCCCAAGACACAGCAGTAAGAGAAGCAACCCGGGGTCTTGCTGAGTAGAGAACTTTATTGTTAGCCGAGCCTGCATCTTTTGTTTTCTATGGGCCAGAAATAGATAAATCCAAGAAACCTATTTCGTGTGAAAAGCCACAAGCACAGGGATCTTGTCTCCCACCCCACACACATTTCATCAGAGGACCCAATTATCTTTCCACTGTCTATATGCAGTACCCAGGGCTGGACCGAAGCTTCCGTGCCGAGATCACACTGTTCGTCGCTTTTCACTTTTCTAGTGCAACAACGTTCAGAAGGCTCATTCTTCAGCCTGCCGCTGGGGGAGGAGGGGCTCGGCAAGGGGCCAGGCCATTCTTTTTTTAAGGAATGTCCTGGATCATTCTTTTTAAGGAATGTCCTGGCGCAAACGCTGCACTGGCTCCCCCCTACGCACACGCTAAATCCACGAGGCCCACATGTTCTCCCTGCCACTTCCTTTCCACCGCTCGCTCCCCGCTCGAGTGGAGGCCTCTGCCCTGAACCAAGAGGTAACTCTCTGGTACCTCCGGAGCCGGGAGTTCACAACAAGTCATTCTAAGCCACTTCTCAGGGATGTCTCCCCGAGTATTTACACGTCCGCTCTCTGCCTGACCAGAGCGTGCATAGTGAGTCACCTCTGGGCTTCCGTCCACAGCAGTCTGAATAACAGCCATTCCAAGGCTATGACCTTACACTTTCCACTCTTATGAAAGCTCTCACTTTCCTTAAACCTCACTCTCTTCGGACTAACTTTATTTCATGGTTGGCCTTCAAGTTTGTGAGAGTCTGCAAGCATTGTCCAAGTCATGCTCTTAATATAAGGTGCATCTATCAATGATCCGCAATGTCATTTCTCAGCAGACTCAGAAAACAGAACCAGACTCCACAGAAAGGACCGTTTTGGAGGCTGTGAGAGAGAAAGAATCGTCTCTACAAGGCAGGGGTTAGAGGGCAGGACTAAATGTATGTGCTTTGTTACATATGACCTCCCAGAGAGCCTATTCACAACCCAGTTCCAAGAACCAAGGGAATAAAATCTTAAAACACACACACACACACACACACACACCCCTCTTTTATGATTATGGATCCTTAAAAAACATTTACTTCTAGAGTGACTTCATTACTGTTACCTATATTATAGACACGCACCCAGCGCGCTGGCCCAGCGCCAGCCCCTTATTTGCTGGGTCTGTCCATTTCAAGGTGAACACGAGGCAGTGTGTGCACGACCAGCCTCAGGGTTTGTCTTGCTACACAGAGAAGTGCCTGTGTCCCCACTGTCTTCTAAGGGGGGCCCACTTCTCCCGAGGCACATGGGAAGTGTCTCGAAGAAGCCATACAGGGCTCTGAGCAGAGCTGGGAACGCCTTGGGGAGACGGGGCTCACACACCCTCCCAGCTCCTCGTGAGCGAGAGTTGACACTTGGACCTTTCCTGGACCCTCCGCCTCTCACATAGACCCTCCTCCCGGAGCACTGAGCGGACCGCAGGCCAGGCTCTGCTGGGCTCCGAACTTCCGCAGAGGTCTGACCTGCTACATCTGCTGGACATCAGGCGCCCGGCAGAGGTCCCTCATAACCAGCTGTCCCCAACCAAGAGGACCACCCCAATCATTCTGAGAGCTTTTTATTAGTCAGCAGGTATTTACTAAGGGGAAAATGCTGCTCTTAAAATGAGGAAAAACTTGAATAAAATAAGCTTCAATATCTTTAGTGGGAAACTCTCTGTGCCGAACTTACAAGTAATAAAAACCAAACAATAAGCCGTTACTGATAGCTGGACCCAAATATGGATGAGTGCTTTTTTTTTTTTTTTTTTTTTTTTTAAAGTGGCCAATGCTTCATCATTTCTTTCCTCATTGACCCCTATGTTGTTTTCAGCCAGTCTCTTAGATTCAACTCCTCTCTCGTCCAAGAAACCATTTCTGGGCCCCACTAATCTCATTTCTTAAACCCAGGCCTTCTAACTCCAACCTACTATTGGCATTTACACTGCCATACACATACATGATCCCACACTTGTCTGTTAGCAAGCAGGGCCTCCCATCCCCAGCTGCCACACTGCCCAGCCCAAGTCCTGCCAACTGCTGACTTCACAGAGTTCTAGACGTGAACGGACATGGGGAAGCACACGCGCTAAGTCAGTCACTCGTCCCACTTCATGTGACCCGGCAGGGCGAGCCCTTTCTGACTCACGGTTCATTAATAAAGATGGCTTGGTTAGGTGAACTAAATTTATGGCACTCTTCATCCAAGATCTCGAGCTTTAATTACAGGTTAAGTGTACAATAAACGACACTGGAGAACTCCTGCATTCAGGCTGCACCACTAGGACGTGATCATGGCGCAGACGACCCTTGCGCTGACTGCAGGGCAGCCAGCCTTTCCTGCCGTGTGGGGTTCTCGCAGGGGCAGCTCTGGCCCTTTGCTGAGCAGCACATCACTTCAGAATCTCTGGTATTCCCAGTGGGAAGGAGCGGGTCTCCCCTCTCCTCATGACTAAGCCCAGAGAATGTGCGCTGACCCAGTTCTGACTCTTTCCCCCAGTAGTATTCCACCGCTTGCCTCCGAGCACTTGTGCTCTCACTGGAGCAACAATTCTGAGAGGGCCGGGAGCCGCACCTAACTGCGCCAGGCTGGCTGGCTTCCGAGTCTGGTAGGCCTCATCTTTTTCTGACCTGGAAGTGAAGACCTCCAGTTGTTCTCTTCTTTGCCAAGAAAGGCAAAGGACTTTCCCGGTCCACTGGGAAAGCGAGTGACAAATGCTGCCTTTTTAAACTAAAATTTGCTACTGACTTAGGAGGGACTGCAGTGGAGGTTTCCTTCCACGCTGGGGATAGATGAGGGGCTACATCTTCCAACCCGCCGTGACAGAGAGGCGCAGCAACAGGTTCATAACGGGGCCTCTTAAGCGAGGGACACACAGGCTCACAATGAGAAGGACCTGCGCTCAGCACAGTGTGCCACTTGCAGCCGTGACCTCAACCCAGTGTGGGAAGCTGCTTCCTCGTCCAACAGGGAGTGACACCACCCCCCTCACAGGTCGTTGAAGAAGGCACACATAACAACGCCCCAATGTAGCAGCTACTCAGTAAATGTTAACCATTATTATTTTTATTACCTAAGAGCTTGAATAGCTACAGCACACTGGTTTTGACTTATTGGTTTAGTCTTCTCAGAAGTTGTTTAGTACTGGAGTTAAAGTATTTTGGGGCCTGTAAGGCTGCCACGGAAAAGGTCACTTAGTGGGTAGAAAGGTTAGAACACTGGGGTGGCAGAAGGCTCACTCCTTCTGCCCTGACACATGCGCACGCCCACTCCAGACTGGTCCTGCACGCCCCTCCTCCACATCGGCAGTCCTACTTGACAAAAGGCCTTAAAGCTTTTCAAAAGCCGAAGATGGGAAGATGTGGCCACAGAGAACTACGTGCCTTCCATCAGAAGGGAAGTAAGGAAGTGGGAGGGCTACTTGCTACATTTTCTTATCCTTAGCAAAGTACCGGCTCTCATGTGCTAGGATCCCCACCTGCCGAGAAGAGATGACACGCAGATCATGGATGGACCTCACGGTCCACTGGGAAAGCTCCTGCAGCACCTTCAGGCCCCACAGCTTCTTCTCAAAGAGCCCACCGTCGCCAACAGGCATCCCACTGGCCTCATGTGGGGGGATCTTGTGCTCCAGGAGCACCATCAGCTCCTCCAGCTGGTAGGCAAAGGCAGAAACTTGGAGCCCAAGAGTGTGTATGGCTTGATGGAAGTCGCTCTCCGTTGGGGTGAAGTGCACCTGCTGGTCTTCCAAGAGCCTGGCCAACAGGACATGGAAGGTACGGTAAGCCTGGAGGTTCTCCTGGAACCGTTCTGCCTCGGTCAGCTCGCTCCACTGGTCAGTGCTGGCCGTGGGCACGCCGTCCACCGAGTCCAGGCTGATGTTCTTGTTCAGACCCTGGTGCTTCACCTGCCGAGGAGACGAGAGAACATGACGGCCCTGCAACTGCCCTGGACTTCGTATGTGAATCTTACTAAAATCTCATTCACCTCTCTGATCTACAAGCCACACTGTAAATACAATGGCAGAAGAAAAACTTAATGCGGGACCCAAGACCAGACTCTAGGAAGATGGCAATCTCGCTGAAATTGACCAGCTGGGCTTTTTCCCTGGAAGAATATTCAACTTTAAGTTGTAAAGGTTGAAAACCACTGATTTAGATGTTTTCTTCCCACTTCAAACTATCTCCTGACGTATTTTAATCATACTGGAGGTTAAGTATTTTGCGCATACAGAAAGAGACCCTGGAGCAGCTACTGCAGAACTCCCCCGACCTCCCTACTCCTACTGCTTGCTCTCTCTGGTGAGGTCCATACAGCAGGAGCTGAGTTTTTAAAAAGTGTCAGTCTGATTTCTGACTGGCAAGGCTGTTCAAGCTAAAGCAACTCTCAGAGAACCTAAGAATGCAAGTTCAGAACTTCCCAAAGGAACCTGGAGTATTTCTACCATAGGCCTTAGGGAGAGACTGACGGGAGTCCCCCTCCTTCAGAAAACCCACCTGGAAGTCTGTGCATAGCTCCTCAAGAACTTCACACTTCCATAAATCCCCAGTGAACCTTCCAAGGGATCCTTCTGGTAGCTTAGGTGATCCTTCTACTCAGGCACACGGACATGTTTGATGTAATACTAAAACGTGGGGGGCTCACACCGTGTAAGTGAGCTGGAGTTACAAATTTTTCCCAAGTTCTTCTTGCTCTTCCTCCCAATCCTATAAATCCCTTTTATTTATATAGCTGAAGAATTTGGAATGGTGTCAACAGAACTGAACTTAACAGAGCCCAGTGGTTAATCTATGCTGGCAGAATTCAGAATGCAGGATATTAAGTCAGGATTAGCCTTCAAGACATACATATAGCCAGTCCTCCATACAGCCAAGACACATAGCCAGTCCACTTCTCTTCTCTCATTGGAGGAGAAGCATGTCTCCTAAGGAGACCGGGAGAAGACAGGAAGGTCACCAGAGTTTCCTAAGGACGAGAGCCACTTCACACAACAGGTGTCCGTGACAGACAGGACTGTGACTGGGGCCGGAATGTGATGGAATGGCACTAGCTGGGTCGGAAGAGATGGAGGGACACGGACGACATAACAGATGACTTACGTAAGATTCCGTAAGAGCAGTCAGGTCTGAACGGATCTTCCTCGCTAGCCAGATAGAACGGCTGCAGAGGTCCCGCCGCCGAGGGGTCCGTGGTGAATGCTCTGCAAAAGCCATCCCCTAACTCACTGTCCTAAGAAACGAGCGAGCCAGGCTTTCTCCCGTCTGCACCGGTCCAAGTCAGAACTGTGCCTCTCACGTTGAAATCCACTGGGCATTCTCTGATGGGACCGTGCACCCCACCTCCCACCCCCTGCCTGACTCAGAGGTGGCAGCAAATTCCTGGCTGTGGATTTTTGTGCCTGTGGAATCAAAGGGCCCTTTTTAATCAGCTTTTTTTTCCCCTGCAGCGCCTGCCTCCATCTCTCTCCTCCACTCGGTACTCAACACACTTGTTTTTATGTCACTGTTTTGCTTCTGTACTTAGCAACAAGGTCACTATCACATCAGCCCTCATGACACCCCTGCTTAATGCAATCTACTTCCACACATCGAATCAGTGTATTCTGTTATCACTCACTTACGCCTCCCATACCTTGTTTTTGCTTTGGCCTGACAGTGTTCAATATAAAGTTGTTATTACTGATAACTATGAAACACCTACCATGGCTCAGAACTAAATGAAGGCTTTAAAACATCTGATGCTTAGATTAATTCTAAAGTAAGGGTTAGTTTTCCCATTTTATATAAAAACCTTAAGAGTAATGTGCACAAAATCCAACAAACTAGCTTCAAATATATACTGGCTTTTGGATTTTCAGTTGTTTTTCCCACCAACTTTCCACTTTTTTTGTGTAAGAAACTCAGTTTATGTGAAAATCGTCCTTTAAAAATGCAGCACTCTTCACTCTTAATCTTCTGATTAGTACTTTTTCCAGTTGCTTAATTTGTACTTCGTTACAAAAGCCAACCAGAGCAGCATCTCCAATCTCACTTGCGGTGCCTTGCTGGTAACTGCAGATAGGGAAGGTTCTGTTTAGGCCTGTTCTCTTCTGAGGAAACACCCAGCCCTGACTCGGTAACATTTCTCAGGCAGTCTCCCTCAAGTGACAACATGCTCCTCCCTGTCCCCAGTACTGCACGCACTTTTTAATACAAGAGAATGAGCTGAGCTTTGAAAATGAGAACGAAAGAGTTGACAGGTGACTGGAGAACCGTCATTATATTGCGCTTAACTCAAAGAATGATGCTAATGGGATCAATTAGCGTTGACAATTTCACAGCATAGATGCTGCCATCTCAGGAGTACATTCACATGGGTAAACAACGAAGGGGCAAAGAAAAAACGCTTGGGCAGCTGTCACACGAAGCCTTCCAAAAGGCAGGATTCTTGTTTTTGTCATCGGCTTTCTAAAGCTGATACTATGCATATTGAGTCTTGTGGATAACGGATACTGAATGCTGACATGCCTGTCACTGTGAGTGACACTTGTTCCCTCCACTAGATCAATGGGGCTACTTTCGCTAGAAGGCTACTGGAACTACAGAAGAGGTTCCCGCTGATCCCACTTGCACAGCATCTACGCACTAATCAAGAAGGACGCCGAACCGGAAGCTCGCCCAACTTAACAAGAGCAAGCAACAGTGTGCAGAGCGAAAGCCTGCCAAGGGACTCTGCTCTCACTCAACAGCATTACCTCACCCCTAGGAAACTGTAACTCTGTACGACCAAGGAAGACAAGGTGCTTCCATGAGGACAATTTTTATTTTTTTCTTTACATATTTATTTTGGATATACCTTACCTAGATTAAGAAAAAACAAGGATTTGAAAAGCAAAGTATCCCTTTTATTATAATTTCTTTTTACATAACCTTTTCAACCTATATTCAGGTAATTACCCAGCTCTCCCATCAAAGGAGAGGGGTCCCGCATATTACAATAGGCAAAAAAGGCTTTTAGGAAATAAAATATTTTAAATTGATCCATTACAATTTTTCCATTTTCTTGAGTATACTGGAAAGTTGGAAAAAGACAGGAGGAGGAAAAACTGGTACTGTAAGCAGTGAGGCCGCAATGACCTTATTTGGGTTCGTAGTGTATCTTTGTAGGCTTTTCCTCCAGACAGGGATGGAGGCTCAAGTGCTCTGTGCTGTGTGGAAGCCATTCTGTCTTCTCTTCACTCCCAGAATTCCCGCCAGCGTCCTCCTGAACTCTGAAACATAACCCCGGGCCACCACCAGCAAGGGGCGGGGACTTCTAGACAGGCTCACCAGTTGTATCTCAACCGCATTAGCGGATTTACACTCTCCAACGCGAGATGGAGAATGTGAAGGGAATTATTAAAAAGGTAACAAACTTTGACTAAGAGTAGGAAACGGACTTTCATTAAGACTCCTGGGCAGGACAATGAAATCAACGAGAGCATGGGGAGCGGGACGGAAAGGGGCTTACTTTACGTACACTGACTCTTGACTATGCTAGGACTTCTTTCTTGAAAGGAAAAATATGAAGTCCATAGAAAAAACCTACTGCAAACATCTAAAATAATGAGTTGTCAGCAAATGGCAGCTGTAAAAAGGCAAAAAAGAAAAAAAGACGGGAAGTTTCTAATTATTAAAAATAAGTACATGCTTTCCACAGAGAGGGGAGTGTGGGTAGAGAGAGGGAGAATATACTTTCACCTATCTCAGAAAGGGGAGTTTTCATTATTTTTAAATGCTGTTTGCTTTTACAATACCTGGCTAGAGTATCTGATGCCATGAAACCCGGAGACGAAGTCTGAGTGTAAGGAGGGCGAGGTGAGCGCGGCCTCGATGCCCGAGGGAAGCGGGACGAGCCCATTTTAATCTGTAGGCTAAAATCGACTTCGTAGCATTCATCCACAAGCCCGTACCGTCCACAGGAGCCGGTCTGCCCCTTCCGCCCTTGTTCCCTTTCCTACCCTCACAAGGGAGAGATGGCAGAGCCGCGGCACTCAGAAGAGCCAACGCCGCAGCTCAGACTGTCCCCATCATCCCTCTGACATTTTCTTGTCTTTTTGAGAAAAAAATAAATCGAGAGAAATGGATAAACTTTACTAGTTTTAGTGTTTGTGAAAAACAAGCTGTTTTCTGTTTTATTCTCTGTACAATTTCATTCTTCCCAACAGCCAGCACACATTTCTGACAATGGACACTGAACAGGGTAAGGCTTAGTTCTAGCTTCTGAGGTACAAAGGATAGGCACTGCCCTTCTAGTTCTCTAAAGAGAAGCCAACAGGCTGCCAGTCTTCTGGGAGTTAGGAACTGGTACAGAACACTACCTGTGCCTCGCATGAATTAGATAAGCAAGCCACAGGGGAAAATCCCTCTTGCCAAGGAAGTGGTAGTTCCCAGGATTGCTGGCGGCAGCCAAAGCTATCATTATGCAGATCACTAACTTTGTCTCCTGAGCCCTTTGCTGAGGTGTTACTAGAAGGGAAACAAAACCAAGCAGCTTTCTTCTGCCTTCAGGACTTCTAGCCACTGTTTCTTCACTAGCGGGGAGTCACAGTGAACCAATACAAAGCAAAACAAAAACAAACAAGGGGACCCACGGTAGGCATACATAAGGAAATGGTGAGGACGGAAAACTTCACAGGAAAAATCTTTATCTGTAATTCAGACCCTGAACAACCTTCCTCATCCCCTTAGAACTCCTAAATCTCAATGCTCTTAAAATCTCAGAGCACACAAGTCACCATGAACCTACCATCCTTCCCTAAGGAGGCTTCCAAAAAGCACGAGGCTATTGTAGTGATTTTGTCATGCTGAGGAACAGCTTTCTTTAAAGGCCACTGGAGAGCTATGATTTTAGAGGCTGGCTGTGCTTCTTCAACCCTATGCTTTGCCTTCTAAGAACCTCTTGTGGAAAGGACCCCAGGTCACAATAATCTACCTTCTCCCAGCCCCACAAAACACAGCCATGAAGACCCCACCCCCCACAAACAATCAGACTTTCCATTAATAAATAAGGAATCTCAGGTTCCACAACACAAACACACATGTTCAAAGTGCAAATTTCTGCCATTAGCCTGGGACTTTTCTCACCGTCTCACTGACAGAGCCCTGTGTTACAGCCAGAGACCCAAGGCGGCCTGCTCCCTCTCGGGAGCCTGCTTCCAAGCCAGTGAGCACCATTAAGAGCCATGTGGAGGTCTGGGAGGGGATCGAGGTGCGGGGACCAAAGAGGAGGAGGGTGGTCCACACGAAACCTTCCTTTCCAAAACCCAGAGGACCGGAAGAGGGGTGAGAGATGCGTGCTGTTTTAACAGCACAGCCTGCTAAGGGGCCCTAAAGTGCCAAGTCAAGCTGCCAGCCTCCAGAGATCAGAATTCTGTAATATTTGAGGGTAAGTGTGCCGCAGTGGGGAAAAGCCAGAACCATAGGGCAGCAGGAGGAGAAAGAATCTGGAAGTCAGTAACATACTACAGGAGTTAAGAGCTGACCCCGAGCGTATCAGAGTTACAAGCTGGAAAGGGGATCTGCTGATGAGCAGGACGTCTGCTGCTGGCTGGAACCGAGCAGGAGGAGAGTCCCCACTTTCAGAGACGCTGCTGCTTTTTGCTGTCTACCTTTCTGGAAAAGGCAACATCAATTTGATAACAGGGAGAGAGGGCGTTCTGGGGCTGGGGACGGTGTGAGTGTGCTGTGATCCACAATGGGAAGAGCAGGCCCTTCAGTTATTTTACTAGATTTTAAATGCTTTAAATTTTTTTTTTTTTGTCCTTTTTATCTTTTAAATACAAAGTCCGAACTGTCCCAGTGCCCAAAGTCTTCCTTTCCGCTAAGGTCCAGTAGAGTCTGAGTCTTCGATCAGAACCTCTGTGGTAGCACCGAGAATATCCGAGTTCATGACCAACCCTTCCGGGCCCCCGCTGCTGCCACCACTTCCCACGAAGAGCTTGCCGTCCGCCATCAGGCTCACCCGCTCCGCTCCGCCACAGAAGGACTTCGACATCCCCTCCGCCTCTAGCAGCAGGCACTCTCCGGAGGCCGCATTCCCCAGCGGCTCAGAAAGAAGGGGAAGACCCTGAGCATCCGCTGGTTGCGCCAGGGACTCGGGGTTAGTGCCCAGGATATCCGTGCTGGTGATGAGGGCGCCTGCGTTGGCGGCCAGAGCTTCTGCGATCAGCACCTCAGGGTGGCTTTTTGCTTTGTGTGCCACTACACTGTCCTTCTTTTCGAACTTTTTGCCACAGATATTGCAAGAAAACTGGTAGAAGGAGTCTGCATCATGCTTCTTCATGTGCCAATTGAGGGACGCCTTTTGTCGACAAGTAAATCCACAGATCTCACATCTAAGGAGGGGGAGACGAAACGGCAGATCAAACACAGGTACGTGCTGTGAGGGAAGGGTCAGGTGAGGACTCGGGGCCCACAGGTTCCTTCCCACAGGCACTGACTAGTGACACACACTTCCTGTGAAGGACTAGGAAATTAGTAGGTAGAAATCTAATGCTTTTCTTCTAAAAGGTTACTAGTAGATCCCTCAATTAACACATACTATGTAATTTGGTAAAACGAAAGAGTGGTAGCTGAAATGTTTGTGAGGGGCAAACCTTCCAGTGGGGTCTATTTGTCGCCAGCCGGTGTTCACCAGTAAATACTCACTGTAACGGCTTCTCGCCAGTGTGAATCATCCGGTGCACTGCCAGGTTATGGGAACTCTTGAAGGCCCGAGCGCAGTACTCACAGATATAATCCCTTTGATCTAAGCGAAAATAATGTGGTCAATGTTCCATTTTAGACACACTCTGTGTAGCATACAAGCAAGCAGGTGGTCAGGCAGGTCAATTTAGAGGAGAGGTATTAATACAGCTCTCAATGCATGGACACAAAGAAAACTACTGTTTTGATCTTTCAGTCTATCCACTCGATAGCCTAAGGATTCATTTAGAAACAAGCAAGCAAGAAAACTTAGAAATATGAAAGCTGGAACCCTAATCTCAATGTTACCCTTAATTCTGATCTTGGGTAAACTGGTTAGAAGGTAAACAACTACATTTCCTATGGATTTTATTCTTTAAAACTATTTTGTCACAGAGCATGAAAGATGAAAGGAACGCTCACATAAAAAGAACCTCAGTATTCAAACAAAACCAAAAGAATAATTTGGCATTCCCATCTGGGTCGGGGGCACACATCTGCAATCCCAGGGCTCTGGGGTCCGATGTGGGAGGATCTCAAGTTCAAGCCTGGGCAACTCAGGAAAGTTGTTTCAAAATAAAAAAGGGCTCGGGACATAGCTCAGACCAAAGGTTTTAGATTCAACCTTAGTATTGCCAAAGAAAGAGCAGGCATCCCCCAGAACTCATCTTCATCTAAAATAAGCACGCCTGGTTCAGGTTTTAAAAATGTTAACAAAGTAAAGAAACACCTCACATTCCAATGTACGCAGGTAGTATTTGTATTCCATCTACCCTATGTCTTCTGCAACATTCTGTCACGTCCCTCGGTCACTTCCTAACTCCCCTTCTCTAGTTCCACAGCTGCTTTCGTGAATTTGGTAGCCTGGAACCCACACGCCACAGGATCATTGCTCTTGTTTATGACTTGGGTGGGGAGCCAAAAGACAAACAGGCACAAAACACTTCTTTGTTGAATGAATGACATTTTCTACTGCATTTACAATTTCTAGATGTAAGTTACAGTGAAAATATGAATGCAGTGTAAGTGAGTAGTACCCCTTTGCAGAGCAGCTTTGAACCAAGTGTAAGGGAAGAGTTGTACTTTACTCAGACATAGAAAGGATCGCTTGGGAATCTTCCTGACGCTCCTGTGCACTCGCCTGGGGTTATCTGCTAAGAGTCCAAGTAGCACCAGCACTGGTTGGTTTGTGTGACACTGTGTGGCAAGATCTAAAAATGCGCATGACCTTAATGGGGACAACTCTTAGCATCAACTACATCTTGCTGTCTTGTCCTACTCTGTCGGAGCGTGGCAAACCCGGGCGGGGCACCGACGCTAACTAGATTGTATCTGTAAAGGGAGCCCATACCTACTAATCTGTAAAAGGAAAACTAATACCATACAGGTGCACTGGAAACAGAGAAGCTCTTCACTTAGCTCACCAAACTGGAAACTGGCCGCCAGAAACCTTCCCTACGGGCTGACATAGTGTAACCAGGCAAAGGGGAGAGAAGAACAAGTGCAAAACCTACTGAGAAGCAGGAAAGACCAATTTTCCTTCAAGAAGCATGGCCGTAAACAAAAACTGTAGATCTCTGGGTAATCAAAAACCAAGTTCACATGCAGTGTTCAAAAAAGTGTATCATGTGTACTTTCTACATGATCTCATCTCCTACGTCCACTAACTCTGAGACACTGGCATCCTTACAACCTCCCTCAGTCACACACAGTCTATGGAGGAAAGAGGACATGTCAGTACCATCTTGGGGAGTGGAGATACTTCTGCAACTGGAATTCCCAGTATTACCCTCCAAGACTGAGATGAAAACATGCAATAATCAAGTGTCTGAAACATTAGCAGTTTTATATGCCAGTAAGACCCAGCCCAACTTGTCTTTATACGCTGCATTGAGACTGTCAATGATTATCAATGAATGGAACTGAAGTCTGTCATGTATAACGTACTGGGCTTCGCTTTGTATGCCACTGCACTGTCCTTCTTTTCAAACTTTCTGCCACAGATACTGCAAGAAAACTGGTAGAAGGAGTCTGCACGCTGCTTCTTTACGTGCCAATTGAAGCAGAATTTTAAAATCCTGGTTCTGCTAACTACTAGCTAGCTGACCATAGTGAAGTTACATAATGCTGCTAAGTCTCTGGTTCCTAAGGTATAAAACAAGCCCAAACCAACTAAATTAGTGGTGTTGCGTGGGCAGATTAGCAATAATATAAAGTGTTCTACTCATAGTTGATATAGAATTTATGTTCAACAAAAGATCATTATTTTAGTTATGCAAGTTCTCAAAGTTCAAAAGCCCTAGTTTGATCATCCCTTATAAAATTTATTAAATTTTGTTTTCACATCTTTTCCCACATCTGACTGAGGACACTTCAGATGACTTATATTAGAAAAACTTTTATGAGTACAAATTTGCACACCTACAATACAGGTTATTTGGCTACTTGACAAACACCTTATTTTAAGGAGTACCTGTATGGTGTTTGGCATGCCGTAGAAGCTGCTTCTGGAGCCGGAAAAGTCGGCCACAGGAAGGATGTGGACAAACATATTTCTTCTTCAGCAAATGCTGGTATTTAATGTGGTGCTAAAACAGTGACACAAAACGAAAGGGATAAAATTAAGTTCTTTGGTAAGTCCTAAGGGTCACTGGAAAACCAAATACTTCCTAGGTGGATGGAGAGGCAGCTGAGAAGATAAAAAGAAGATCATGTATTTATTTTAGTGTTTAGCATAGCAAATGGCACAGCGAAAGCATAGCAGCAGCTATCATTAGAAACACAATCAAAAGGAAGGCCTTAGTCTCATGTTATACTTGCTGCTGAAGAGCAAACAAGCCTTTCCTCAGCAGTATTTCATGTTCATGCTTTCTGTCAAGGGCAAATATAAGCTGTGCCACTGCTCATTTAAAAAAAAAAAAAATCTTAAAACTAAAAACCAAGCTAAAACTCTTACGACTCTAAGCTGCAAAATTCACTTTTACAGAAATACTCATTAAAATAAAATCTGTTGCTTTGTGCCCTGGTGTACGGTGACTCTCACCTCTGAAGTACTTATGACACTTTGGAAAACACCGCAACTCCCAAGATCCCAAGTAAAGCCCAAACTTTGGGCTCAGGTTTTTAGTCCCCTTGGTTTTAAAGAAAATGTGCTGCAGTTTGAATGCACATGCTGAAAGAAGGCTCATGCGCTGAACATTAACCTCGATGCGGCTGCGGTGGGAGTGGAGCCGCTGGGAAGTGTTTAACACCCCGCCCCTCGCGTGGATTACAATTATTATTGTGGGAAGAGAACTGTTCCCAAGTGCGCTCTGCCCACTCCCGCCCCGCCATGCTCTGCTAGGAGATGCTGTGCTGAGAAGGACTGCATCAGACAGCACCGTGCTTGAGGGCTTCTCATCCTCCAGAACTGGGTCAGCCAAGACATTTCTGTGCTTTATACCCAACCTCTGGGTAGCAGTACTCTGCTAGAGCAGAACAAGCGGGCTAAGACAGGATGACCCCAGTAGCGGTAGGAGGATCTGTCTTGACTCTCTGTCCTAACAACGCCACTGACCTGCAAATAGCGAGGGTGAGCAAGAACAGTTCCACACCCTTCCATCTCACAACGGACGTACTGGATAGGAGGTTTTTTCCTATTAGGAAAATACAGGAGAAAACGTAACAAAAAAGTGCAAGTTTGCGGCATAGTCCTTGAACAGCACAGTCACTGTGTAAGGAATAACCTCTCTTTGCTTGCACAGAATCTGTCAGAAGTAACCACAAACTGCCAAATGTTTGACACGAATAAACAAGAATCTCCATAAAAGTACTAAGATTTTTAGCAACTATTCTGCAGTGAAAATAAACATATAGTACCTATCTACTGTGGACAGTAATAAAACTAGTTTTACGGATTTTTAAGTAAGACATCTTTGCAGGATTCTTAGGAGAGCTAAATAAGTGAGTAAAACGCCTTAATACTACACTAAAGGTGTGAGACAATAAGATAATGACTTCCTCACCTTCTTTTGGGTAAACGAGGACTTTTGTCATCTTTTCGCCTTCGTCCTCTCCTGTAATTAAAGAAGGAGCAATGACCATGTAGTTTAGACTGAAGTTTACAGAGGTGAAGGACGGCTGCCATGGCATATACTCAGGCACGCAGCAAAAAAAAGGATAATTCAGGTAACTACGTAACACTCAAGACGCATCTAGCAAATCAAGCACAATTTAACTCTCAATTAATTTCACCTTCAAACTAGTCTGCACCCCAGATTAAACACTGCACATACACTTTCTACAAACGAGGCACTGCCACTGAAGAGGTGGCTAAATCCCAATGCTACTGAGTTGTCAGGAAAAGTTTATCACTGAAATTTCATCAATTTAAAAAGTAGATCAACAAATTATTATCTAAGAACCCTAAAAATATAACTTCTACTCTCCTTGCAATAAATTTAAAATGAAGAAAATTTTTACCTAATCAACGCTATTACACTGTTTGTCTTATACACGCTTCTTTTGAGGACCTGAATTCCCCTATTTTTTCTTGTCTCTTACATCCTCTGCACCCCCAGAGCCAGTCTTTCCCCCGTAAATCATCTGGATTAAATACTGCTTTAAATGAAAATGAGTAGATCTCTCCCAACAAAACCGCCAGCTGCTTGAGGCTAGCACGTAAGGTGAAAATACACATTTGGAAGTACGCACACACTGACATCCCTGCTCACACTCGCACTGTTTTCCACGAGTGGCTTCAAAATCTGTTAATTTCCATTTGTAGTAGAAACTGGCTACTAACTTCCTAGGAGGTTCTTCGTCTTCTCTAATTTCATTCTCCTCTTCTTTCACCTCTACTTCTACTTCCACTTTAATTTCTTTCTTTTCTTTTTCTTCCTTTACCTTCCCCGATTTTCTCCGTGGCTTTGGAGTTTCCCTGAAAACATAAACGCAGTTCAACATTGGTTCTCCACCAAGGATCTACCCTGGGAGACTGTGACAGCAAGTTAAAGTGGTTACCATAGATTTACTATAAAATTCTAATTCTTAGCTCATGAACGATTTCCTACCAAGTGTTCCTCTCACATGTACAGTAATGCTACACAAATCTGATACCTATGGGATGAATTTTTAGGCTTCTGATCCTTAAAAATCAAATTTCACTATACGTGCTAAAAAAAAGATCAGTAAGTAAAATTTCTAAGTATCCTGGCAAATCATGATACTGTTAAGATAAAGTACACACAAATTTAGTAACTGTGATATGATCAAATTACAGTCCTATAAATGGAAGATCACATCAGATCTGAAACACAAGTGCGTAATTACTCATGTAAAATTACTTCCTTAACTCTGCAGTTTGGCAATAAGACACATCAAGGGCAGGGACAGCACCTCCCCACTTCTCATCCTGCCTCAGCGGGGGCACCCCAAGACCTGCCTTTCTTTTTTTTTTTTTTTTTTTTGGTTTTTCTCCGGTACCGCGAACCGAACTCACGACCTTGCGCTTGCGAGGCAGGCGCTTTTGCCGCTGAGCTAAATCCCCAGCCCCAAGACCTGCCTTTCTAAGTGCGGTTTGTAGGTCTCATCTCTGGGGTCATCTTTGAAGGGTATTTCCTCTTCACTGATTAACATCTCTTCTTCCTCCTCCTCCTCTTCATCACTACTAAAGAAGAACAGAAATAAATTCTGGTTGTGAAGATCATGTCTGACTGGGTTATATTGGGCAATTTATTTAGAGGTGGCCAAAAATTCACACTAAGGTACCTAATTTTATCCCTAGTTGGACTGCAATCTCGCTGCTTTATCCTAAGTAATAACCCAAACCACAAAAATATTAGAAATACTATCACTGTATTAAATAAAGACAGGGAAGACTGTTCCAAGGCGCTAAGAATTAAACACAGCAGACTTTACTATAGTACTGTATGTCTGGAAAACAGCTGCATCTCAGAAGGTCTAGCAGCGGACAAAAATCGCAACTTACTGTGAAGGTTTTCAAAGCCCTGGCCAAAACACCCCAAGTTCACCTTAGTGTCCGAAGGAATAAGCCCAACCACAGAAGATACTCAAGGCATGGCTTCTGAACCACATAACCAAAGGTGACATGGTTTAAAATGCTCTACTCAAGATCAGTGTGGAATCCAAATGTCGGATCTTGACAGTCCAAAATCTTTTTAAGTATAAAATAACTTCCACATCATTCAATGTCCCTGTGCTATGTACCCAAACATGTAAATACGAAATATGAAAACTTTACCTAATGCCACCGGGAGATTGCTGTTCTTCTGCAACTTCTAGAAAAATAAAGCCAAAATCAAAACTTTATTCACAGATAAGACCTTTCCTCTATGTAGCCAAAACATTCAAGTACATTATTTTTTTTTTTTTTTTTTTTTCCCAGTACCGGGAATTGAACTCACGACCTCGCGCTTGCCAGGCAGGCACTGTGCCACTGAGCTAAATCCCCAGCCCCTCAAGTACATTATCTAAAAGAAGACTCCCTGAAAACTGTCCAAAAGAAACCCTCTCTGTGTTGCCACGCAGGTCCCTGAAACTTAAAACTACTTAGGCAAATTCAATGTTACATTTAAAATTAAAAAATCATAATGGGTACTAAGGTCTAGCAGGTACTAAGGTACTAAGGTCTATTTGCACGGTACCATAATCAAGCTGATCTGTAATCGGTTCTGACTTGCAGATGAGCTGCAATGAACCAGTCTTGGACCGAGAGCTGCGGGTATTCTCTGTGTCTCGAACACGGGAGACTGACGTCCTGCTGCTACTGCGCCAGCCGCGGCCAGGCCTAGTTGCAGCAATGGAAACTTCCTGAGGGAGGGCAGAATCGTCTTCCTCCTCTTTCTCTTCCTTGGGATCTAGGTGAAACAGATACCATTCTAAGTGTACAGTCAGTCAACAGCCAGCCCTGTACATGTGCTAACCCAAATACAGTCATTAAATGGAACATAAGTCAAACGTTTCCTAAAAGTTAAAAAAAACAAAACCCAAAATTTTACTGAAATACTTGAAATAAGGTTAGACATTTAGGTAAAATCTGTCCTTAATGTCGTTACTCTAAAGACAATCCTTCAAATCCTGCAAACAGCAATTTTGTATTACCTCATCTACAAAAAAACAGAAAGAGAAGCATACACAACACACCTAAGTAAACTGACTCATGAAATTCTAATCATTAGTTCTAAAGTAAAGAGAGGGGTGGGGACGTGGCTCAGTGGTAAGTACCTGCCTAGCGCGCACAAGGCCCTGAGTTCAGTCCTCAGTACCACAAAAAAAAGGAACAAAACGAAACAAAGTGAAGTAAAAAGAAACTAAATTCGAAGACAACAATATGCAAAGAACAACCACTGGTGACTTCCTACCATCTTGTTTGGTGAAGCTCTGTATTGTTTCTAATTTTTTTTATTATTGTTTTTATTCTCTTTAAGGGTTTGATCAGTAATGCATCTTACATCTGGTAATCTGAGCAAATTCACAGAAGATAACGGTATGTAATATAACAACCACTGTTAATTCCTATTATTTTGTTTTGAAACCTTGTATTATTTTTATTATTTTTGCTTTGCTGTTTTTGTCTATGTTGTTGTTATTTTATTGCTTTTTAAATTCTCATTATAATAATAAAGAAAAAGAAAGTGGTCCCAGAAAAGTAACCAGAATTGAAGGAAACAAACAGAAAAAAATCTGGGTCCACATGTTTTTAACAACCCAATCATGTTGCAAGGAATTATTAAAGGGGAGTTCCCTAACAAAATGCCTTTCCCTAATGTATATTTTATTTACAACTATACTACGAGTTAATCCCACGGTCAAGTCCAGCTCCAGTGTCAGTGGCTCAGGTATACTGTACTAGTCCCTCTGTCCTGTGAGACTCCACACAGGCACACACAGACATCTACTACTCTCACCCTGTATTACCTCAAGCTGAAGGGTAAACAAAGTAAGGTAGTCATCATCTCTTGAACAGTATGAATAAAACATTACCATCAGAAACAGGCTTCCAAATCCAGAATATTTCCCACCTTGATAATGGCAAGTATATATCAGAAGTCCATTTTGATAATGGAAGAATCTTTTAATACCCTCAGAATGGAAAAGGGCTTTCTAAAAGCAATGTAAAATTTGAAGTCACACGATGATGACAATCTGACATAAACAAAACATAAAAACCATTTTCTGCATGACAAAACCAATCAGAAGCAAAGCTAACACCCGACAAAAACATGGCACCTCAGCAAAAGCATGGCTTTCAAACACATAAAAAAGTAATCCGAGACCCAAATGAAAACACTTTGTACTGGGGAGTTTGTAGGAATACAGGCATTCTACGAATACAGTGTACCAGCAAAGCAAATTCTTTTAGATTTTAAGGCCTAAGATTACTTTGGGGATCAATGTGTTGCACTTGGGGCTCATGGGCTCACAGCTTGCCCTGTGATTGCAGAAGTCCTCCAATGCCTAGGGCTCTGCATTCGTGATTCCCTCACCATCATCATTCTTTCCTTTCACCCTGTTTGTGTCCCTTTCAGGTTAGTCTGTCAGTGTTTAGCTGTATACAGTTCTCAAAATCCCTGTCAATCTTACAAAACTCATGCGGTCCAAGCCATGAAACAAGAGGATCCTCCACAGATCTTTTCCTGATTACTGCCTTTCTCCTTCAGGTTCTGCTGAGATGGTTGCTAGGGCCCTCCAGTTAGTTACACACTTAGTCCCTTTAGGGCACTGTTGTACAGCGGATACACTGAAACATCTCCAAATTATCATATACTCATTCTTTTTTTCTGATTAACTCATTCCCTTATTTTTCTCTCTCTGCCTACACTTCAGTACAAGTAGCAAGAGATCAGGCTGCACCTTCTGTAATCTGCTTGGAAATCGCAGATCCAAGTTCCCCCCTTCCAAATTTTACTTTCAACCTAATTCTAGCCACCTCTCTGCAACTTTTTAAAGAAGACTGTCTTTTTCCCATCGTCCAACATGATCATCACCTCCTTCTAAGCCCTTCCCCAGACTGCCTCTAACACGCCCATTTATGTCAACCATCTCTTCAAGGCAAGCTAGGCTGCTCTTCCTGTCAAACCCCTCAGCTCACTTCTAGTGACAAGCCACTCCTAACCCCACAGCTCTTTTCACAATTCCTGGCATTTTGTTAAACTTCACCCACAGTGTATTAGTTTCCTAGGGCTGCCTAAACAAATTACCACAAAGACCTACTTATCTGCAAAGATCCTCTCTCCAAATAACATGACATTCACAAGTACCTCAGTTAGGAACTTCAGTATCTTTTAGGGGAGGCAATTCAGGGTCTACTAAGACAAGACACATTTCAATTCAACTTAAGGTAGTTCAACTTAACAATTTTTCAACCTTAGTATGGTGTGAAAGTGATACACATGCAGTAAAAACCTTACTTCAAGTTTAGATGTTCCCCTTGGCTAGTGGTATGTGGCACAATGTCTTCTTTCAATGATGGAAGTGGGAGCAGAGCTGCGGCTCCCAGTCAGCGGTGGATGGGTAGACAAAGACGACAGTACATTACTGTATTACTATGATGGCTGGCAGGCGGGGTGCAGTGAATGCGTTACAATATTTTCAACTTGCAATGGGCTTATTAAAATTGTGATCCCATCATAACTTCAGGACTTACGCAGTACAACAGTCAACTTCAATACGCCACTTTCAATGATGGATAGAAAAACCAGTCAATATCACAGTAAGGAAATACAGGACTTGGGTAATACCGTTAGTTGGAAGATCCTCAAAAAAACCATTAATGCCACATTACCGTATGATTCAGCAAGTCTGCAACTAGGTATATGTGACAAAAATTCAAAGTGGGCCTTCAAGTACTTGTACATGAAGATCACAGCATCACAACGCACAATGGAGAAAATGTCCACTGACAATGAATGGATCAAGAGAATGACATCTATCTACACAATGGGGTTCTTCCTAGCTGTAAAGGACAACTAGTACATGCTACAGATATGAATCTTAAACATCTGCTACATGACAGACAACAGACACAAAAGTCACTCACTTTATCCCTTCTATTTGTGTGAAATATCCAAGAAAGGTAAATTCAGAGTCAGAAAGCAAACTACTATTGAGGTTTGGGGGCTGAAAAGAGGGGATCATGTGGTATAAATACTCTTAAAGGGTGCACAAGTTTTTGGTGGTAGTGTAAATGGTTGGAACTGGACAGATGATAGCCATACAACACTGAATATGTACTAACTGTCACTGTTATGTTGTTTACGCGCGCGCGCGCGCGCACACACACACACACACACACACACACACACTCAGGCTAAACAACAGGAAGAGGAAAACCCATGTATTAGCATAAACCATGACCAGAAGGAAAAGCATCAAGTTCCTTCTGCTTTGTTCAAAGACAACTCTGAGTTGTTTCTCGTAATGGCAGTTGGCTTTCAGGAGGTTCCATGATTTATAATTAATAAGGAAAAAGGGGAAACTCTTGGAAGAGGAGATGAAGTAAGAGCAGTTGATACTATGACTTGGGACAATAAAATATTGATACTACTGGCAGGAATAATCTCTCCTAATCCTTCTTGATAGCAAAGGGTCTAATGACGTTCAGTGTGATTCACCTCAATCTTATAACCAATTATAACCTAAACAACTGAACTCACCAAATGCCAAAGTACGGTAACCACTTGGTCATAACACAGTTAAAACCTCAAGTTAGAAGGGCCACCCCAATATGAGTCAGTGCTCTGACCCTGAAGTTGCCTCATTTTTCTAACTAAAGCTTAAAGAAGTTAAATAAAGCTGATGTTTGATTGCTGGGCAAAGGAGGGAGTGGTTGGCTGACAGGGTGGAGGGAGACGGACAAAGGTTTCCTCATCTCTATTTAAATATTCAAGTGTTTTTTTGGAAGCTAGCAAACTAAATAATTAAATACCCATAGTACTCTGCATTTCTCTAAATTTAGTTTTTGTAACACTGTCAAGTAATTATTCTTTTTATAGATGAAAAAAGCAGGTAGCTGACTTCCCTAGGCTCACATATTAAATTGTGGGGCTTGGACCTGAACCCAGTTATATATCAGTCCAAAGTCTACATCCTTTCTATGGTTATACCACACCTACCCATATAAACAGGATAAAAAGAGTCTCAGCCCAAGGGCTCAATTCAGATTTGGCTCATTTCCATCCAAGCTTGGTTTAAGTACCATGAAAGGATTACACATACATACTGACTTAAAACATCTATAAACAAAATTAGTCCACGACAGTAAACTTTAGGTCAAAAAATTACCTGTAGTCTCAAAAAATTAAGTAAAAAAACCCAACTCTGAGTAATAGCCAATGTCCTTCAATTCAATAATGGTTAAAAAAAAAATTATACGACACAGAGGTATCCTGCACACAGCTGACATCTATTAAGTATCTATGCACCTCTCTCTTAGAAAAATCAATCCTACTCTTAAAAACAATGGTAATCACATTTAGTCTAAACTAATGGTTTTCAAAATGTACTTTTAAAACTTCAAAGTCCCAACAACTTTACCCTGTCTGTGTTGGGGGAAACCTATATGAATTCTGATTAGAATTACAATAAACTGAAAAAGCCTTGTGGGGAGAAATGACATCTTGAGTTTTCAAATCTGAACAAAATACAATACTTTGGTTCATTTTCTTAATTCTTCAATTTTATTCAACGAAGTTTTAGAGTCCTGTGCATAGGTCTCTCAAATATTTTATCTAGTTCATCCCCAAGTTCACTTTTTTGTTGTCAACAGTTCATAAATTCCTGATTGCCCGATTTCTTCACTTTAAATTTACATTCTGACTGCATTAGTGGAGTAGCGCCAGCTGATGTTCCAGCACCT